ATTCAGTTTTTTTGCACTATTCTGGTTGCTTCTCAGGGCACATTCCTCTTGAGTACCTTCCCAGACCAGAAACTGCTCATTTGAATTACAAGCTCACTAGTGCTTCAGAAGACACAGAAGACTGTCCTGAGCTGCGGGATAGAATAATTTTCTCCTCCTCGCTGTGTAAAACCTGCTGGGGAACACTTTTCCTCCTGCGACAGCCGAAATCCTACTGTCTTTGTTGACATGTTTAGTTCGTTTCTTTACTGACAAATCCCTCCCATGGGTTTACTGTGATGGTTACTGTTATATCAACTTGGCTGGACCACAGTACCCAATTATTTGGTCAAACCGTCATCATAGATGTTTCTGTGATGGTATTTTTTAGAGGAGATTCACTTTTAAGTTGGTGGACTTGATACCCTCCCTAATGTGGGTAGGCCTCATCCAAGCAGTTGAAAGCCTTAATAGAAATAAGACTGACTTTGAGTGGCTAAAATGAGCAAATCAGAGAACTCTAGATGCTGGCGAGGATGTGGAGAAACGGGCACCCTCCTACACTATTGGTGGGAATGTAAACTGGTGCAGCCCCTCTGGAAAACAGTGTGGAGGTTCCTCAGGAAACTAACAATAGAACTCCCTTATGACCCAGCAATAGCACTGCTAGGAATTTACCCAAGGGATACAGAAATGCTGAGGCATAGGAGCACATGTACCCCAATGTTCATAGCAGCACTCTCCACAATAGCTAAAACATGGAAAGAGCCTAAGTGTCCATCAACAGACGAATGGATCAAGAAGATGTGGTTTATCTATACCATGGAATACTACATGGCAATGAGAAACAATGAAATCTGGCCATGTGTAGCAACATGGATGGACCTTGAGGGTGTTATGCTGAGCGAAATAAGTCAGGCAGAGAAGGACAAATACCATATGTTTGCACGTATAGGAGGATTAGGAGGAACTTGACGGAGGAACAAGGGGGAGAAGAAGGGCGGAAATGGTGGGGGAAACGGAGAGAGGAAAACCATGAGAGACTCTTGAATGCTGACAAAAACTGAGGACTGATGGATGTGGGGGGGAGGGGGAGGATGAGCATGGAGGAGGACACTTGTGGGGATGAGCACTGGGTGTTATGTGGAAACTAATTTGACAATAAACTATTTGTAAAAAAAAATCATTGGAGCAGTGGAAGTGGAAAATAAATAAATAAAATGCTAAAAAAAAAAAAAAAGAAAGAAAGAAGACTGACTTTGCAAGAGAAAGCAGGAGACTGCCTTTGGACTCAAAATGCAACATCTGTTCTTCCCTGGGCTAGATCTCCAAACTACTGGCCTACCCTGCAGATTTTGGACTTGCGAGCCTTGCTAATCATGTGAGCCAGCTCTTTAAAATAAATCTCTCTCTCCTCTTTTGATAGATAGATGGAGAGGTACACTGATACATAGAGAGATACAGAAATAGTTATAGGTATCTCCTATTGGTTCTAATATAGTTTCTAGATATAACTAGTCACCAAGGGACCATGATATTGTAAGTGGAATGGCTATCTGAGAAGAAACCCCTTCTATGGGGCAGCAAAAAGGTAATTCCAACCTCCATGTCCCTGTAAGAAGTTACCATCTACATGCATTGTCCTGCGACCCAAAATAGTAGTTCTATTCTCTTTTTAGTGGTCTGGACTTGAGTGCCAAGTATTGAGACTTGAGGGATGTCCAATAAATATTATTTATCTTCCTTTATCATGTCTCTAACCTCTTGAAAAGTAATAGAGTAAAACAGAAGAAGATCAAAAAGTCTGACAATGGTAGATGTGGCTTATAACTGGTGGCTTCTTGATTTCCCAAGAGTGGGTCTCAGAATGACACAACCATGCAAAGTCATGGCAGGGCTGACCCTACACAGGCTGACTCTGCTGTCACCTGCGGCAGCCCGTTCTTCCAGAGGGAGCAGGGACTCTCTACGTGATGCCTGATTCCTCCTCCCAGTTGTAACAAACTGCTTCTTCCTTTCTGTGGAAGTAGGAAGTGATGGATAAGAAAAAGCTAGAAATTTTGCTCCGTTGGAGCTCTCCCCCCACCCGGAAGGAAACACCCTTGGAGGAGAAAGCAACCCTCCAGCCACATCCCATCCCCTAATAGTTACCCCTGTTCTATAGATGAGAGAAATCAGATTTAGCAAGGATAAGATATACTGCTCTAAGGGGAGCCTGAGTGGCTCAGTTAGTTGAGCATCCAACTCTTGGTTTCGGCTTAGATTATGGTCTCACAGTTCATGAGTTCGAGCCCCGCGTAGGGCTCTGCCATGTAAAGCGTGCTCTGAGTTCTCTCTCATACTCTCTCTGTCCTTCCCTTTCTCTCTCCCCCTCTAAAAATAAATAAATAAACTTAAAAAAAATCTACTGCTATAAAAAATCTACTACTACCACTCATAAGTAGTTTGACTATAGTTCACGCCTGAGTCTATCTATTGTGGGGGAGTCTATCCCTGCACTATTCTTTATAAAACACTAGATTTTCATAGGAAATAGAGAACCCCCTTTGACATGCTTTATGCCAGTGAAATGTGAGCTGAGACATTAAAGGAGCTGGTATTGCAAATAGCCACATTGATTCTCATAAGAATCATGGCCTGGTGGTTTATAGAAAAAGATTCTTGTAACTGGATTAACTGAAAGAAATGAAACAAAACAAAAAAAGAAAAATAACGAGGAGATCTCAAACGTTAATTATTGGGTAGGCCTAATTATCATTTTCAGAAATAATCGGAATCCCCTCTGTCCATGGTCTGGACATCTCCCCATGACGATAGACCATATGTGCCATTACTCTACTTCCTCTGACAGGTGTGTCCCTCCTTGTTCTACTTAGGGCCCCTTGCTCACTTCACCCATCATAGACCCATTGAGGTTGCCACATGGAGTTGTGATTCATTAATTTTCACTGCTTTATAATGTTCCTAAGTGTGTATATATTCTCCTCTCTCCCTTTCTCCGTATGTATGTATGTGTGTGTGTGTGTCCATTTATTTATTTGTTTATATCACCATGCTTACGTAAACAATGTTTACATTGTTTCAATTGTTTGCTATCACTATCCTTCCTTTAAGATACCCTTGCGGTGCCTGACTCCCAGTCTACATGAGTACAAGTGTACTCTTGGGTCTTTGTCTAGGAGTGCAAGAACTGGTTCTTAGGAAATGCAGTATGTAACCTTATAAGAAAACTTAAAATGTTTTCCAGAGTGTTTTTTAAAAAAATCAAATGCCTTTTTCAAAATAAAGAGTAAATATTCACATTGGGCTACATGTTAGCCAAGAGCTGGGTTCCCTAGTTGGTTGGAAGTTGTGCCCCATTATGGACCTGATTGACATTTCTCTGAAGACTGATAAGACAGATTTTCTTGTGCTTCTTTGTTATTTGCATGTTCTAGTCTATGAAGTCCCTGTTAATATTTTTTTGCCCTTTTCTAAGTTTGTTTTTTAAATTGGTTTGTTGCAATCTGTAAAGAGTCTGCACATTGATTCTGTTGATGTTTTGTGTGTTACAGTTATACTCTAAGAAGTTACTTCTTGATTTTTTACTCTCTTTATATTTCTTTTTAATTGAAAAATTAAGTTTGCCCTGACTGTATAAAACATATTTCAGGCAAGTCCTGTGCACCTTTTTGAGAAAATTTTCTGTGCTTCAACATAGTAATATATCATTCTACACTGCCTTATAGCCGTTCAGTGGTTTTCTTTTCTAAATTAATCCATTATTCATGTGGAATTGCTCTATTTTATGATGTGAGTTATGGGTCCAATTTTCCTTTACCCCCCGCTTAAATCACATAAGACTATTGGTCCAGCATCACTGGTTTAAATGATTATGTTTTTCCCATAGTGTATATCTGTATCATCCATCATTTGTTAACTGGAAGACAAGCCAGTGTCTCCTCAAACAGGATGAGTGAGGACTGCTTAGTAAAGGGATGTTTGCATCTCACTTTAAAACTGGGAGATTCTGGGGCAGCTAGGTGGTCATTAAGCATCTGACTTTGGCTCAGGTCATGATCTTAGAGCTTGTGAGTTTGAGTACCACATCATGTGAGCCCAAACCCTGTGTCAGGTGAGCTCAAGCCCCATGTTGGACAAGCGTGGGCCTGCTTCAGTTGAGCACGGGCCCCACGTCAGGTAAAAACAAACACAAGCCCTGTTTCATGTAAACACGAGCCCTGCTTCAGGTGAGCCCTGCTTTTCTCTCTCTCCCTCTCTGCCCACCATGGGATATTCTCTGCCCCTCGTTCACTTGTGCCCTCTCTCTCTCAAAAAAAAAAAAAAAAAAAAGGAAAAGGGAGATTCTCTTGAATTATCTCCTGGACCCAATATAATCACAATCCTTGGCTCCAGCCCCTTCTTCAAAACCAGGAGTGGTGGGTCAGGCCCTTCTCATGCTGCATCTCTGACTCTTTGATTGTCACATCACTCTCCATGTCCACAACCAGAAAATTTATCTACTTTTAAGAACCCACATGATTCTATCGAGCCCAAGAGACAGTCCAGGATTAGTAAGCTTCTTAATTCTTTTTGCAGTGTTTGACTCCCATTGGCCATGTAACATATTCAGTGGTTCTAGGAATCAGGATCTAAAGAGCTTTGTGGAGGGATTATTCTGAATACCACACTGCCCTTGTCTGAGCGTGTTATCAAGGAACATAGGAACGAAAATATAGGTAATATCCTGCTTGACACCAGCTAAGAATTCATTGGCAGTAGAAATGTCCTGGATCTTCATCCAGTGGGGCAGAATCTAAAAAAACTAGGACACATAGAGCTGTTGGAATGAGAAGTAACCAACATGGACTTCTTTCCTCTGGTGAAAGATCTGGCACGACCTGGACTGATACAAGAAAATCGGAATCAAACAACTCATTTCCATTTAAACAGATTTGGAGATCTTAAAATGACACTGTTTCCTGATTCCTTGAAACGTTGGCAGATGGTATGGTGGGAAATCCAAAGAATAATCCACATCAGCAAATAAAAGAAGCCTTTATTATACTGTGTTCTGTCACCACAAGATTCCAAGTATATAAACCTAAGAACTGTCAGACAGATGTATTCTCAGTCTTAGTCTCATGTGGTAAACAGCCAACTGAGGGAGATTAAATAGGTCAAAATGATTGGAAATGCCACACCCCAGGGATCTATTGAAATGCGACCTCATCATATATATGGTCAGGAGAGGGGATGTTGTCGTTATTTGGTAAGAAAACCACCACCTGTGGAAAAATCAGAACATTAGATTCTTACAGTCAACAATAGGGAGAGAAAAGTCATCTCATTTGCTTTAGAAACTGTATGGTCACTGAGCACTTTCCTTCCGAATCCTGATACTTTGCTGGTCTAGGTTCCTATTCTTGCTTTGACCTTCCTTTCCTTACACCTCTTCAACAACGCCAGAAACGACCTTCATACAAGAAAAAGAGGAGTCTTCGGTGTCTAGGGATAGTTCTTTGGCTCAGTGTGGTTGGCTATTTCCCTCCACTGCTACCTGTGCTACTTCCTTTAAGGATTAAGACTTTATACATGGAATAGCATTTTCCCTCTTCCTAATCTTCCCCGCAAAAATAATAGAGGACACACACACACAGAGAAGCAGAGAAGGAGAGAGAGAGAGAACCCATAGAGACCCAAAACACTCACCTTGTTGACAGAACAGGCTGCCCTGCACACAAATATGCAGAGGGACAAAGCAACACAGCCTTCCGCCAGAGACAAGAGCAACATTCCAGTTAGCATGCCCTGGAAAACACACAGAAAACCCCACAAGCTATAGAAGACGGAAAAGCAGATATTGTAAGAAGAAAGAATTGTTGGTGGCATTTCACATCTGTGAGAGTTCATCTCGTCACAACAGGAACCCCTTTCCTTAGCACAGATTCCTGAGTTTTCTCCCAATTCAAATATATAAAACAAACAACTTGAAAATCGATCTTTGGAATTCCACTCTTTCACGCACAATTCTAGAACGTCAGGTAAGTTTGGGCTTGTCCATACTGATTTTTGGTTGGTTGTTTGCCTGATTTCCACCCCACATTTCATGACCAGGGTAGACTTTTGGGCTTTATACGTCTCCTTCGGTCTCTCTGCAGTCGTTCCTTACGACACACGACAGCCTACAGTTAACTCCCTGAACTTCTCCCTCACTCTGGTTGCACCGTGGGATTCAGAATACTAACACACCCTCCCCAGCCATATCAGTTAGGTGTTCAGAATCCCTGAAAGTCATGGAGCACCAGGAACACCAGTTTTCCTTTTTGTCTTCAGATGGCTTTTCAAATCAAGAGGAAAGTGCCCCAGGGAGAACTGAGTTCTTGCAGAATTTTCCACTCACTGACCACACATCAGGGCCTTCAGACATGAATGGTAACTAAAAAGCTAACTTTTTTTGCTCAGTACTTCCATCAAGACACAAAGAGTTAGCTCCCATAGCCTTCAGGAGAGTGTCCAGCATCTAAATAAGCGATGGCCATGGTCAGATCCATAGTAAGAATTTACAGAGAAGATTTTGGAGAAAACCAGTCTATGGATTTTCATGACTGGGACAGGATATACTTACTGTAACTGCTATTGCATAGGGAGAATTCCACATCATTCCGTAATATATAACTATTTCTTCAAGAAGTATCACACCTACGCCTATGGCTGCTACAGTGGCACTGACTGCATTCATTCCCAGGCTGCCTTGGATCTGAAGAAGAATAAGATCAAGAGAAGAGCTGTTGCAAACCTTTCTCACATTCTTCCCAGGTTAGATATGTCAGTCGGGGACATTCAGCTCATCTGAGTTGAGTTTGGGAATTTACTTGGGGGATCTTCCCCAGTTTAAAGGAGGACCTTCTGGTATAGTTGTGGTTTTGACTCCCTCAGCGAGTGAGTGCCCTCAGTGAGCATGTGGCACATGGCTTATCATGGAGCACAGAGCTGAGCCCATCATTCTTGCCTAAGTGCCACAGAGGAAGCGCTTCTAGGGCCCTCCCAAGAGCACCTCTAGGGTCCTTCTCTAAAGAACCAGCAAGTTCTAGGTGCCTTAGCCTGGTAGCCGAACAGTTCCTTGTTTCACTAGACCTGTCTGAGCCTCAGCAATGAAACACTTACCAAACCCTTGGTTACTTTCCTTCCAGCAGCAATGGACAACGCTCCCGATATGAAGAACTGACCAAAGAGAGAAAACTCACTCAGAGCTTGCACCATCCCCCTGGCTGCTCCCACTCCCCTACCAGTATTATCTACCCAGTCAGCCCAAGCTTAGGACCTAAACAGCAGTGCATGGATTCTTGAGAGAGAAAGATAAAGGTCTTGCAGACTCCTGAAACATTTGAAACACTAGAATAATCACTAATACTCACAGAGAAGGGTCCCCATAGGTGATAGCCTATTTTAGTGGTAAAGCAAAATAGAAGTTCACAGTCATTTGGAGGCAAACTGATTGTCACACCCAGGCACAGCATTGTCAGCCCAATCAGGATCTGAGCCACCTGGAGGGTTAGAGACATCCTATGAGGAGCAGCTTCTCAGGAGGAAGACTCTTTCTCAGACCAGTACACAGTAACTTCTTTCCCGCCGCTGAGACCCCAGGCTTGAGGAAGTCCCAGGAAGGTTACAGTCTACATATCAAAATCTTTTTCCTTGTCCAATGCAGGACATTGACTTTAGCCTTAAAGTATTTATTCATGTAATTGCTACCTAAGTAGAGAGATTTTTTTTTTTATTCGAATGATGGACAGCTTTACACCATTTCTTCCTGAATCTGTAAGGTCTGTGCACTTCAGGATGATTACGTTCAGTTCATGACCACAATCAATGATCTGGAGAATGGGGATACTGTGAGGAAACCCCAGTCTTGGGTCGGGAAACCTTCCCCTCCCCACAGCCTGCACTCTGGTCTTGGGTCTACTCACCCCTAAGACCTGGGGCTGCCCCTTCAGGAAGAGCAGCAGACTCTTCTGCTGCTGGGAGGGCAAAACCCAGTTACCCGGCCAGTGTGGTTGGGTTACGCTGTCAATCTCAGGAAGGTTTATCATGTAGTCCTGGGCTGTCTCTGCCTCAAATGTCCCTGGGTTGCTGTTGACACCAGGAAAGAAAACACTTCTCAGCATTGATTCACTTTTTTTTTAAGGTTTATTTATTTTTGGGAGAGAGAAAGAGACAGAAAGAGAGAGAGAGAGAGAGAGAGACAGAGAGAGAGTGCAAGCGGGGTCGGAGCAGATAGAGGGCGGGACAGAGGACCAAAGCAGGCCCATCCTGACAGCAACAATCCCCATGCAGAGCTCATACCCACAAAATGCAACATTTGTGACTTAAGCCAAAGTCAGCCACTCAAGTGACTGAGCCACCTAGGAGCCCCAGCAGCACTGATTCACTTTTAAATATCTTTTTTATTCATTTTTGAGAGAGAGACAGAGCATGAGCAGGGGAAGGGTAGAGAGAGAGGGAGACACAGCATCTGAAGCAGACTCCAGGCTCCAAGCTGTCAGCACAGAGCCCGACACAGGCTTCGAACCCACGAATCACCAGATCATGACTTGAGCTGAAGTCGGGCCCTTAACCAACTGAGCCACCCAGACGCCCCAGATTCACTTTTACATATCTTCCTTGTGGGGCGCCTGGGTGGCTCAGTCGGTTGAGCTTTCAGCTCAGGTCATGATCTCACGGTCCATGAGTTCGAGCCCCATGTCAGGCTCTGTGCTGACAGCTCAGAGCCTGGAGATTGCTTTGAGTTCTATGTGTCTCTCTCTCTCTTTCTGTCTCTCCCCTGCTCATGCTCTGTCTCAAAAATAAATAAACATTTTTTAAAAATTTTTAATAAATAAATAAAAATCTTCCTTGTTCCATATCAAAATACCAGGAACAGGGGAATTTGTTTCTTGGGCATAACCCAGATTTTTCCTTATATCCTGGTTCCCATTACCTACCCAAGCAGCCAGCTCAGAATAATCTAGATGGAGCTACAGCTGCCTATCTTTGGCAATGTACACACAGTTATTGATCCTAAAGCAGAGAGTCTAAGCCTTGTAAGACTGAAAGCCAGATATTTACCTTCTGCTCGTATTCCAGAAGCAAAAGCAACTGCCCACTCACAGCAAGATGTCAAGCAAGATTTTTCCATTCACGAATTTCCTCTAGCTCAACTTACAGAGAGCCCCAGAGTCTTGATGCTTGTGCACCTCCCACCTAGATGCCTTCTCAGAGAGCAAGCATGTGGTAAAGATGAGAAAACGTTTCTTCCTACCTTTGCATCTCCTCAGTACACACAAATGGGTGATTGTCCCCTCTGGGGTGTGGTCTCTAGTTTACAGGGTTCAAAGACAGTGACCTGCTCTGATGTGTGATGCATGAAGAAACCATTGCCCAGAGCCCTGTGTTGGCCATCTGTTTCCTGTGGCTTATCTCAACCTTCCGGACGAGAATCTGTGATGTGCTCAAGCTCGGTAATATATCCCTAAGATAATACTCTAACTCCACTCCTCACACACAAAGATTGTATCGAAGGGCACGTGTGTTCTCAACGCTAGTTCCTCCTCACTGCTGTGTTCCTCTTCAGTACCATACAGACGTCTGTGCTTGCCATATCCTCAACGATGGGGACCCACACTGATGGGGTTTTAGAGTGGTGGGGTTTCAGAGCTGTTGGCCAAGAAAGAATCCTTGAGATACCTTCAGTGAAAAAAAAAAAAAGTTGATTTTATTAAAGCATGGGGACAGGACCTGTGGGCAGTAAGAGCTGCCCCAGGACCGGACTGTGCGAAGAGACTGATTATATACTTAGGAGTTGGGGGCGGTAAAGTTAAAAGGAAGTTTCCAAAGCGATTTTCATGTGCTGAAGAAGACTCACAGGATCCTGGAGGCCTAGCTATTGTCAAGCTACGGTTGTTTTTCCCTCTAGCAAAGTATTAATATTAAGACGTTAGGGATTTCCTGGAAGAATATTACACTCTGTCTGCTTCAAGTATTTGTCAACTGGCTGCAGGTTATAAGGACATTTAATTTTATCTGTCATTTTTTCTGCCTTTGTTTCCCATATCGTGCACTACCCTGATTTCTGTAGTAGAAGCTGCATGCAAATTATGAATTTTCATAAGCAAAGGCTTATGTGAAGCCTCTGATGAGGGAGGTTGGGGAAAGCTGAGGGCAAAATACAGGTTTGCATATACTCTCCATCCCGCCCCTCTCCCCAGGATGGAATACATGTGCTATTCCTCTGACCCTCATGGCTACCCACGAACAAAGGAAAGGGGGTTAAGTGCTTGCCATGGTCATGTGGGAAACTAAGGTAAATGAAAAATTAAATTATCTTACTGCCTACAGCCCACTGACAAGTCCTTGAAATTGTCAGAGTGACCTCCCCCTAGGAGTTCAGCTGCCTCAAGGATGACACTGCGGAGGCCAAAAGAGAACCTTGGCTTAACATTGTCCCAACTTCAAGGATCCTGTAAGTCTACTTCCTTTATCTCAACTACCCCAGGATATATGCTGGCAACCCTGCTCCACGCTTATGCCCCCCGCCCTCCACATCTGAAAGGTCACATGACTGAGGTTTTATTAAACAGTGATAAACGGTGTTTCCCTAACAACAGCTAGCCCCTCGAGGTCCTGGAAACCTTGTTTCCAAAATTCCTTGGAAATTTACACTATCCATGACCCGCTCCCGACCTGCATATAATGAGTTACCCATCAGGACCCCAGTGCAAATTTTTCTGCTCATGGGTCCTGTCCCTGTGCTTTAATAAAAATCACCTTTTTGCACCAACGACGTCTTCAAGAATTCTTTCTTGGCTGTTGGCTCTGGACCTCCCCGCCGTCACCCCAAACCTTCATTAGCCCCTGTTTTAATTAATTCTATTTTCTGTTATTTTACATGATCAATGACGTTGATTCTATCATATCACATTTTTAATTCCACAATACACTTTGCATATTAAACTTTGGGGTGCAGAGGAAATTTTTATCATAAGTTAATGTTTTCTGGACTTGTAGCCCATGGTAACCACTTGTAACCCACTTCACTCAATGAAAGTGGTGTTTTTCTTCTGGCCAATTATAGCCAGATGCACCACGAAGAAGTATCTCTGAGTTATCTTTGGCACGTTTGCCTGTGAAGGGCCATGAGCGTTTATGCAGGTGGTACCTCTCCCCCAATTTCCTCCTCGGCCCCATTAGCTGGTCCCCTTACAGGCTGGCACACTGGTTCGCAAAGACCTCGCCTTCCATAACCAATATCCAACAGCGTTTCCTAAATAAAAGCAAAAGCCCTGTGATGATGATGGTTATGTATTAGAATAATTCGTGAATTCTCCTACAGCTCTGGGATCCCTGTAGGCTGTTTTCCAGCCATATCCAATCCCCTGAGAAAATGCTCCCTCTACTGTCCCTATTTGGACTAGCAAGTCCTTTCCAATATGATAAGGTTTGAGGGACAATTTTGGTTTCAGGCTATAACCTACACAACAATCCCACAGGATCCTACTCTTTTAGAACAGGTGTGTTATTCTGGGTCTCGTACTGACAAATCCCTCCTATATGGTGGGAATCTTGTGATTACCAGGAAGTTCCAGGGGTTTGTATGGTCTCGGGCCATCTATAGTATTGCAATTGGCTAGGAATGCGTGGGGACCCTCATCTGGACTCCCAGGAGCTCCCCACAGATGTCTACCCTTTCCAAACCAATGTTAGGGCTGGACCAACCTTTGTGGTTATTATGACTGCAAGACACCCTTCAGCAGCAATCATCAGGAAACTCTGAGAAAACAAAGATTTGTTACAAGACCTGGAAATTACACAATCCTCTGAGGTCACATTGTGAGGTCAAGGGTGGGGAAGAAAAAGAGAGCAGAGGCCTGGGGTTCTGCTTTCATCAGGGACAGGGTGGGTGCCCAGGGTCTGGGGACTCCCTCTTTGCTGGTGAATTTAAAATTGAAGAGCACACATTTAAAGCAAGGGAAGCAAAAAAACAAGCAGCCCAAGATATCGGCTAAGGAAATCACCAAAGATCTCTAAAACAAAGGAGTCAGTGCTGGAGGCTGCCTGGCCCTTTACCATGTGGCTGGCAGTGTGCTTATTCTAGAAAGCCGTCTTGGAAGTGGATCTCTCTTTGAAAGAACGCCTCTCCAAACCAAAGCTTAAACTGTCAGGGATTTGCATTACCAAAAAGAAAAACAAAAAAGCCAGGGCTTACACTATACCTGATGAGGTTTTGGGGTGATGAGGGGTTTGTGGAGGTTCGGAGCTGAAAGCCAAGAAAGAGCTCTTCAAGACATCTTTGGTGCAAAAAGGTGATTTTATTAAAGCACAGGGACAGGGCCCATGGGCAGAAAGAGCTGCACTGGGGTTGTGAAGACTGGCTCATTATACACTATGGGGTTGGAAGAGGTAGAGTCAAAAGGAAGTTTCTAAAGAGACTTTCATACGCTAAAGACTTACAGGAGGCCTAGCTATTGTCAAGCTAAGATTGTTTTTCCGTTTAGCAAAGCATTAACATTAAGACAGTAGGGAGTTCCTGGACTTTAGGCTATTGATGGGATTGCCTTTTTCTTGTAAACTGGTGGAAACTTTTATCAGTTTAACCACTGGGGTTTTTTTTTGTTTTTTTGTTTGTTTTTTTGTTTGTTTTTGTCCTTTCCTGTTTTGGGGTAGTGGGGACTGTCCAAGGGATATCAAACATCCCACCCGGGGCAGTGACTGTACTTTGCCTTCCACTGGCCTTGTGCTCCCTCATCAGTACTCATGCATAAGAACTGTCCTCTGAGGGCAACTCTTTGGGCCCATGCCTTGACCCACTGTGACAGGTTAAGTCACCATATCTGGAGCTCCAAATGTGCTTCCACTTAGGGATCAGTCATGCACCCAAACATTTCTCTGTCTCAGTAGTATCTAGAATTAGCAATATGTCCCCTTATTGTGATGCTCATAATCCCTATCAGTAGTGATCTGCCAGGCTTCTGCTGATATTTCTAGAAAGTGTCTTAATTCTTACACACTATTCTCTGAGGATTTCCCACCCCCTTGGCCCTAGTTTCTGCTATACATAAGTTTGTGAGTAGAAGTGATTTTAACTGAGCAATTCCTGAGTGAATAAAAATCTCAGGAGGTCATGGAGGCAGAAAGCCATCCATGAATAGCAAAACCTATTATTTCCTATTCTATTAGACATGAAGCTTTAAGTAGGATCACTAACAGTAACCGGGTAATGGGATTGTCAACTAATTTCATACACCTAGTGCTCAATCTGCCTTGGTCTGTTTTTCCTGAGTCCCACAGGGACAGCTGGCGAGTCCTCCCGATGAGAAACAAGGCAAGAGAAATGTAGATACAATTAAATTTCCTTACAACGTGCCATCTACTAATACCAGAGACAGGCACAATGTAATATGCCTCAAGGAACTCACAGTTGCCTTAATGTTAATGCTTTGCTAGAGACTAGAAGCAACCTTATCTTGACAACAGCCAGAACCCCAGGATCCTGGAAGTCTTCTTTAACATAAGGAAATCCCTTTAGGGACTTCCATCATCTCTACGCGCCTCTTACTGAAAAATATATCATCAATCGCACCTCACAATCCCAGTGCAGCTCTTTCTACCCACGGGTCCTGGCCCAGGACTTTTGTACCAGAAACATCTCAAGAATTCTTTCTTGACCACTGTTCTCAGTGACCCCACATCAGTCCCAACAGCCAATTCTAATCCTGTCCGTTCACCCTTTCCTCGTTCTTGCCTTTTAATCCTAAAATTACACTGCCTTTTTTGAAAACTGTCTAGCAGTTTCTTTCTTTCTTTCTTTCTTTCTTTCTTTCTTTCTTTCTTTCTTTCTTTCTTTCTTTCTTTCTTTCTTTCTTTTTATTTCTGAAAGAGGGAGAGAGACAGTGTGAGCAGGGGAGGGTCAGAGACAGACGGAGACACAAAACCTGAAACAGGCTCCAGGCTCTGAGCTAGCTGTCAGCACAGAGCCCGACGTGGGACTCGAACCCCACAAACCGTGAGATCATGACCTGAGCCAAAGTCGGACGCCCAACCCACTGAGCCACCCAGGCGCCCCCTGACTAGCAGTTTCTAATAAAGCTGAATGTGTGTTTCCTGAGACAAATGTCCAGATAAAGGGGATTTTTGGTAGTGAAAGGAGATTTTAAATCCTGCCAACTCAGAGTCCTCTCCACAAAATGTGGGAAATGATGTGATTTGATGT